GCTTGTCTGTTTAAAACTGGCCATTTTTTGTGTAAGAATCTATTCAACATAAAAATAGAGAACCCTAAAGTTACATTCCATCAAGCACAGATTCCAAATGAATCTTTTGAACTATACATTGAAGAAAGATTATACCATAACTCATTTTAATTGCCAACATTACTCTCTTTTGAAGAAACCACAAGAAAGAAACAGCTGCAGCTGATTAAAAAAACTTACTAGCCTATGGTCTGAATTTTAAGCCACTGGAATTCTCTTAAAGATATTCGTAAGAGTTTTTCATTTGGCAATAATAGCGAAAAAGCAGCTAAAGCATATGTCAGTGAAGGAATTCTGAATTTTAGCTTTATTACATTAGGCACACATCTAAAGTAATGTCTGGTTTAGTCACAGAAAAACTTTGAAAGGCTAGTGAGGCAGAATTTACCTTGTAGAGTCATGTTGAGTCATCTTCAGCTGTACTTGAGCCATCAGGGATGAGGAGTGTATTATTGGACTTCAGCTCCCATCATCCAGCAACACTGGCCCTGCTGGCTAAGGTTAATGCGCCCTTCATTTCACCAACATCTTGAGAGCTACATCTTTTCCACTCCTTTTACGTTTGATCATTTTCTCTTTAATAATGCTTTCCACTGAGTTTACTCAGAACAGATATTAAGCAAAGCCGTCTGTAATCTCTTGGTTCTTCCCAGACACCCCTCCCCCCCCTTTTTTTTAAGCATTACCATTGACCATTTTCTAGTCCTCTATTCCAGAGGTTGATTTTAGGGATGTAAAAAATTGTGTTAGAAAATCAGCAATGTCACATTTTAGTTCTTTAAGAACTCTCTTAGGGCTGCCACCAGGATCCACTGATTTGTTCATTCTTGCTTTGTCAGTGATTCTGCCATGCATCTGGGCAGCCCTCAGAGGCCACTCGTGTGGCCTGCTGGAGGTGCCTAAGCTGTCAGATGACCATGTGCCTTCTATTACCATACTTGTGCTAGGGAAAAGCCATGTGGGAATGACTCTCTCTTTGTGTTCTCTTTCCCAGCACAATCATGATCCCAGGCTTCTGGGAATATAATTTAAATTGTAACTCTCCCTCCAACCATGCCTGGCAGATTAGCAGGGATTAGGAACCATGGTTTCAGCATGCATGGTGGGAAAAATTACATGCTAAGAGAGCAGTGGGAAGAATATGTAGTTTGCATTTGCATGTGTATGTGTGTGTGCTCGCGCATGTATGAGCATGATTCCAAACTCATCACTGATGTCCATAAGGCCCTCAGAGTCAATAAGGCTATCTATTCCTTGTCAAGAATGTCATCTCTAATCACTACTATTTGCCATAGTTCTTCAAATACTTGCCCAAAATTATCAGCTCAGACATGGCTATTTGACCTCCATCTCCTGCACTTAAGTCAGATCCAAAGAATTCATTAAGCTGCTGGTGCGGCTTCTTAGTTTCATTTCTATATCATTCAATAGCCAAAGCTATCTCAGCAAGTCATAAAATTTACAAACCACAACATGCAAGATAATAAAACCAGAATATAAAATTTTTAGCACACAAAATTTCACACAATTTGAACACGTAAACATTTCAATAAAATATTATAAAAATAAAGATAGTTTATATAAATGCCCCTATCATATGCCATTAAATGCCTGGAAATGGAGGACATTTTTAACCTGGTACCAAAAAGATGGTAGTGCTGGTGCCAGGCAGGCCTGAGAAAGGAGATCCTTTTATAACCAGGGGACTACCACTTTTTCTCCTTTAGTATTCCTTTAACCCAAGATGGTTTCCTGCAACTGATGACTTTAAATGCACACATGCACACAACCCTTTTGTTACTGTTAATATTTTTAGCAGTATATTCCTGAAAATCCTTTTTTGCATTCCTTATTGCAGCCTTCACCAACCTTCCAGATGTTTTAGACTTCAACCCCCATCATCCCCAGGCAGCATAGCCACTGGTCAGGAATTCTAGTTGGGGTCCAATACATATGGAGAGCACTGAGTTGTGGAGCACTGCTGTCTCCTTGCATTTCTTTTATGCAAGTCTGTGTTTCTGCCTGTTCTTATTTGGATATTTTCTGAAGGAAGTTTTTTTCCTCTCTAATAGTTTCCTTGACATTACCTTATTAACCACTTTGGTGACTTTTTGACTTGGTACTTTTTCTGACCTGCAGTAGACATTCTAGCTTAGTTGCCATAAATAAAATATGTTTTAATAAAACAGAAATATTCAAGACAAATCTGGCTCTTAACTCTCCATTTCAACTTGCTTTTTTAGGGGAAATTTCCTCTTTTGAAGTCAAATGTGATTGAGTTAGACTTCTTGACAATTATTCATTTACAAATAAAGGCATGCCTGCTCAGCATAAGTCCAACCACATTGACCTGGAGTTACTCCCAGTTAACTGCAACCTAAGGGCATAATCTTATGCATATTTACCCAGAAAAAGTCCTGCAACATTCTCCAGCCAACCATGGTTGGCCCATGAATGCTGAGAGCTGTAGGACTGTTCTCTGTGGAAACTTGCTTAGGATTGTGCCCTAAGGCCTTACCAAAAGAATGCAGTCTGTGTGTGTGTGTGGGGGGGGTTTATGAGATAATATGTTTAAAGCATTGCTCATAGGTCAAAATGTATGTCTCAGGAACAAATTTGGTTAAACATGATACAATAAGATGCATCCTTAGGACTGAAACACTTTGTCACGTGTATTACATTCAGTCAGGTTATCATGTTGTTGACCAAGAATGGGGGGGTCCCCAAAAATATTGATCAAAGGATCATGTGAGGTTGGAGCAGTGGCTACCAAAAGCTCCTTCCTACCAAAGCATGTTGGCACACTTGCAAAAGACAGGTCACAGTAATCAATGCTGGTCTGATTTTGGATGTCCTTTAGGCAAGATACCCCCCCTGCTTCCACTCTCTTGGTTAGTCCTCTTCTCACTGCTGCTGTCACCAGCTGCTATTCCCCCATCACCATAACTACTTGTTTGCTTTGAGAGGCAGAGAACCAGGGACCAAATGAGCAGTGCCACCTACTGCTTCACCTTCTCACCATGGTCCTTTTCTGTGCCAGAGTAGGAGGCAGGGGAACAAGCAGGTTGCAATGGTTAAAAGAATCAACCTCAGGGGCTCTTGTCAGTGCCCACTTGCCAGGGTGTGAGCTCCTGGCAGATGCCCAAACATGCCTCCCCTTGAGGCCAGCCTTGATAGGAGTTACACCCTGGGGACAAAGTGATTCACAGTGCATATGGGTCATTTGGAAGGCTATTTTGGTACCCTTTCTAATGTTTGTTGATTTTGCACAAATGAACTGGAAGGGATTTTATGGAAGGTATTTTACTCTCTTATCTCACTCAGACTCAGAATAGCACACCACTCAGAGAGCTTCAGTTATGGGTGGTAAAGAAATGAAATAAATCATCATCTTCTTGGTGTTGGCCATTAATATCCCCAATGTACCCAAAGGATACTGAGATTTAGAAACTAAATCACACAGAAAGTTTACAGCTAAGCAGGAATTTCAATGTCAGATTCAGCATTAATCACAGGACAACAGGGCTGACTCTAAACCATGTACGCATTTTTAATACGTGACAAATCACTGCTTTCCTTTTTGTCCTCCATAATGCAGAAAAGTGATGATTACTGCAGAAAATGACACTCAGAAATGCTATTTTGAAAAGTGAATTGCTGTATGACACATGCTTGCCAACCACATGCACATCTGTTGTTTGACTAAGGCTAAAGAATAATCCTGGGCAACCTTTCGTTCTTACAAACTGCAGATTAGATTACCAGTTTGCTTTCTAAGTAATTTTTAAAGTAACTTTTAAAAATGCATGCACTTTCGTATCTTTAATAAGCAATTGCACAGCTAATTGGGCTATATGATGATAGCACAAACAAGGAATCACAAATAGGGGAATTGATCAGAGACCGACATACCTAGGACAAGCAGTATAAAAGGGAAAATGCCATTAGCTGTTATCCGTTCTGGCTGTATGAGACTCCAGTGCACTCATCCCACAAAAGAAAATACTTATTTGTGTGTGGATCACACAAAGATACAACAAGACAGGATTGTTTAAGCAACTTGGTGGGAAAAAAGTCAACATACTGCTAAAATGGCTATTAAAAGGCTTACTTAAAATTCTTCGCTTGATTCAATGGAAAGAACATGTGGAGACCAAAAGAACAATATCCAGAGATTATCAAACACGGCAGTACTAATGTTTATTCAATCTGAAACCGTTGGGGGGAAATTAGGGTTTTATCACTTTTGATGTTTGGATTTTACTTCAAACAGTACAGAAAAATTATCAGCTGTTTCCACAGCCCTTTTCAACTTAGCCCTACATATGCAGAATTGGACAGGACTTAATTCCAACTAACTGCTTGTAAGATTATTTATTTATTAGACTTCTTTAGCCTGCCCCATTAGCCATAAGGATCCCTGCCCATGTTACAGAAAAAAATAGAATCATACTAAACCATAAATTAAAACACTAAAATTACATTATTAAAAACCAGTCATAAAACAGTTTTAAGCATACCAATATCACTTTCAACAAAAACCATGATTCATTTACTCCCAGCTGTGAACTATCCTTAGCTCACTTGTATTTATACCTTTAGTTAATGGGCAATATTCAGTGTTAGTGCTACTTAGAGTAAATCCATTGAAATGAATGGGACTTAAGTTCGACTAACATTGGATATAACCCATTGAATAAAATCCAACAGGTAATACACTCATTACAGGAGAGCTTTAATTGATTTCCAGACACTTGGTTTGCACTTGTGAAAAAGATATGCTATATTCACAGCTACCTAAAGTAGAAGACTCATTCTAATGTGATGGAAGAAAATTGAACACAACAATTCTAGTGCAAGTTTCCTTTAAAAAAACAAAAACAAAAACAGGGGGGAGCAGAGAATAAAGCACTTCAAAGAGAAATGTCTGGAACAAAAAAATACAAACCAAAAATACCTACCTGCGTCTGTCTCATTGCCCGCTCCACTCGACGAATACTTCTTTTCTCAAGCTTTGTCCGGAGAAGCAAAGCGGAAGTTTGAATTGCCCAGAACTTTGGTTGAGAGAGCAGATACTGAGGAAAGGCAAAAGGATGAAGTTATCTTTAAAGCATGGAAAATCAGACATTTTGTTGTGTACTACTTTAATACACTTAAGTTGCAGCAAGCAGCCACAGTTATTCTGAGAATCCAAGATGATTCATGGTATGTAATTGGTGAATTCTAAGCTGTGCTTAAATACAACTAATTCACAGCAATGGTGCAGTTGGGTACTGGCTATTATTTAGTATGCAGAAAGACAACAATATAAATTCATCTCAAAATAAAATGTCATGTGCATGCAAGAGAACCATGCAAATGGATCACTGACTTCTGAAACATAGCATCCTTTTTCAGTTTTAGTTACATCAGGCTCACCAAATTACTGGTGTTAAATATCCATATCAATGCCATCTTCCCGTGAAGGAAGCCAGCACATGCTAAGAAGTTTGTCTTAAATTCACAATGACTTGGATTGAACAATGCCCCTCTCCTGATTTCTTCTTGAAGGTTTCCACTGTACCCACAACATGGTGCTGCCAGAGGTCGAACGTTTCAAATGGCAAGGCTATCAAGCATCAAATAGAAAGGCTATTAACCTTGCATCACTACATTAACATGAATGTCAAGTATACATTATTATAAAAATCAGTTACCTATAACAGCTATAGAAGCCTTTTACACACTTATTAGTTGTATCTGTTTCCTTTGCAATTAATTTTATTATAATTTGTAATTATTTACTAGTATTATTTAAATAGTAATTGTTATAGGGTTTATGGAACATGAGGTTTTATTGCCTTGCCTCTGGAATCTTGATGGACTGGACAGAAACATAAAGCAGAGCAAGTCAGTAGGGTCCTCCTGGGCCATCTAGTTCGACCCCTAGCTCCAGCCAACTCCACTCATGACATGCCTACCTTGTGCATGTCCAGCCTATCCTTCAACACCCTCGATGGGGCTTCAACCACCTCCCATGGGAACCCACTCCATACCCTAGGGGTCCTAACTGTCAGGAAGTACTTCCTGGCATCCAAACTGAATCTTGGTTCCCTGACATTTGCTCCACTAGAATGCATCCTGCCCTCCTCCACAGGGGAAAACAGGTCTCAACCCACCCCTGCATGACATCCCCCACACCTATATCTCACCAGCAGATCCCCTTAGAGTCTCCTCTTCTCCAGACTGAAAAGACCCAGTTCCCTCCATCTTGCCTCATAAGGCTTCCCCTGCAATCCAGCCACCATCCTTGTGGCCCTATGCTGCACTGGCTCTAACCTGGCTATATCCTTCCTGTAACATGGAGCACAGAACTGAACACAGTACTCCAGTTGCAGGCACACCAGAGTAGTATAGAGTGGCAGTAATACTTCTCTTGTTCGAGAAGCCACACTTCTGGTTATGCATCCAAGGGTGGCATTTACCCTCTTGACCGCTGCATCACACTGCTGACTCATGTTTAGCCTGCAGTTGACCAGTGCCCTGAGATCCCTTTCTCAAGTGCTGCTCTCCAGGCACATATCCTCTAACCTGTACTTATGACACCCATTCCTATGCCCCAAGTGCAAAACCTTGCACTTATCCACATTGAACACCATCCGGTTGTCCCCTGCCTGCTCATTTCCATAGTCTGTCCAGTTCCTTCTAGATCCAGAGTACCTGTTCCTCAGTTGTGGCTACCGCCTCCATTTTAGTATCATCTGTGAATTTAATCACCAGACTGGTCACCTGCTCTTCCAGGCCATTGATGAAAAGACTGAACAGGATTTGTTCCAGGACAGAGACCTGGGGGACCCCGCTTGTCACTGGCTGCCATCCTGATGATTCCTCACTAACAGTTACCCTCTGCTTTCGGTCCATCTGCCATGGCTTAATCCATCACACAGTGCATCGGTCTATCCCAAAACTCCTCAATTTCGCCACCAGGATATCATGCAGCATTTTGTCACAGCCTTGCTGAAATCCAGCTAAACCACATCCACTGCATCCCCTCCATCTAGTCACCTCAAAACCTTGTCATAGAATTCCACAAGGTTCATCTGGCAGGATCAGGCAGGATAGGAATGCCTTGAACCATTATTTCAGTGAGGAAATGTTTCAGAAAGGATTACCTGGACAGACTTCTACACTGCTTACTGTATCTAATAAACTTTCTGACAGGAGGAAGGGAAGAGGGTATCCATTAAAATGGATGAATCTCAGTAATGGAATGACACTGTGAGTGAATGTAGAAAGGCAGGAACACAGTCACCTCTAAAAGGAATGATTGGTCTACATAGATTTACATCTTTTAAAGTTCCTCTTGTGAATACATAAAACTGTATTTCAAATGCAGAGCTGGAAATCAAATTAAGTAATATTTAACTATGAAAAATATCAAATACTGTAATATGCATTTTATTGCTATAGCACAATAAGGAAGCCTAGTCATGGATTTGGACCATTGCTTTTTAACTTGCTTGTTCACAAATAAGCTGGAATTAGGAGTGAGTGGTGAGGTGGCCAAGTTTGCTAATGGCACCAAATTATGAAAGACAGTTTTAAAAAGGACAGTTAAAACAAAAACAAAATTCCAAAAGGATATCTCCACAACTAGGAAAATGGGCACCCAAATGGCAAATGGGGTTCAGTGCAAGTAAGCATAAAGTGATGCATATTGGGGCAACCTTCCCAACTTCACATATACACTGATGGGATCTGAGCTAGTGGTGACTGACCAAAGAAGAGATTGTGGGGTTGTGGTGAACATCTCGAGGAAACTGTCACCTGCTGTGGCTGTTGCAAAAAGGCAAATGCCGTTTTAGACACAGACAGGAAAGACTATGGAAATGAAACAATCAATATTTTTTATACAAAGCTATTGTATGTCCACACTTGGAATGCTCTATATGTTACATCTAAAAGGGGATGTTGCAGACTTGAGAAAGATGCAGAGAAGGGAAGATGTAATAACCAAGGGGCTGAAACTACTTTCTTAGGAGGAAATATTACAATGTTTGTGGCTGTGTAACTTTAAACAAAGGTAAGGAGACAGAGATGTACAAAATTATCACGTGGAAAAAGTGGATAAGAAGACATATACGTTTTTCCATCTCCCATAACACTAGAATTTGAGGTCATTCGAAGAAGCTGACTGATAGGAGATTCAGGATATATAAAAGGAAGCACTATACTCAGTATATGAGTATGGAACTTGTTACAAGATGTGGTGATAACCACCAACTTGGACGGCCCCAAAAGAAGATTGCACGAATGCATGGAGAAGGCTATCAGTGACTACAGCCTGACAAATATCCACTGCTCCTAGTATCAGAGGCAGTTGATGCAATTGGGAAGACACTACTACACACGTTCTACTTTTGGATTTGCCAAAGGGGACTAGTTGGTCATCCTGTGAACAAACTGCTGGATTAGATGGACCTTTGATCTGATCCATATGCCTCGTCTTCTGTTCTTATGCATTCATTTAAAGCAATGGAACCAGATGAGGATCATCACACTATGTCGGACAATAGGACAAAGTCCTCAAACAAGCTTAATCAAGCTGCCACCAGAAAGTCTGTAGAATGGTTGAGTGTATCTGCACTTGCCCCTACACTTATTTTTAAAACAACAGTGATCATTATACAGCACTGGCAGTGTCTACTAAAAATTATCCTAAAAAGTAACCAGTCTTCTGGGCCTCCTCTGCAGCCTGGTCTAGGATTCATGATTTTAGAATATAGAAACAGAGCAGAGCAAGTCAGAAGGGACCTCCCAGGCCATCTAGTCTGACCCCCGGCCCCACTCATGACATGCCCTACTACGTGCATGTCTAATTTTAGAGATTTTTCTGGGAATGTTGACACTGATCTTGTTTTCTCTCATTCACTCTGTTCAGACATCTTTATAACTGCATGACAATGACACAATAAGATCAACCGCATAAGGGAAGCAGTGAAGACCATTTTAAGATCACATCTGGTAAAATTCAATCTAATACCTGTGAACAATCACATACATGTAGAAGTCACAGTGAGACCCATTTTACCAACTTGCCATGTATGAATTATTAATTGCAAGTATTCAAGCATTTGCCCAGCAAGATCTTTATTTCTTTTGTCATGGTCTCTGAACATATGCCTAAATATAGGGTCAAACCATTTTCTTATCTCCAGATGTTTACAACTATTTACTCTAGTGCTATCAGGAAAGACATACCAATTCATTTCAATTAGCTAATAACACATTATCAGAATGGGACAGTACTGATTTCTAATAGACTAGCACAATTTAGTACACAACAAGACTTTACTTCTCTTTCTGTATCACTAATCTTATGACTGTTCAACTAAAAGAGGATTTCAGTACAAACAGGTGTTTGCAGATCATCAGCAGAGAAAGGCTTTTAACCACAAAGCCTTTTTACTCCATGTTAAAAAAGCACACACAAAGCCAAGACTCCAGCATGATCTGCATAACGGGATCAGTGTAATTAGAAACAGTATTTTAAATGTTGCTTTATCTAATCTTGTAGCCACTGTGCCAGATTTTCAACATTACATCATTAAAAATAAATCAGAAGAATTGCCCTGCTAGATTAGACCAAAGGGCCTTCTAGCCCAACATTCTGTACAAATTAAGTGCAAGATGTACTTTTAAAAACTTATAGCGCACATGCACACACACTCGTATGTAACATTTTTCAGATTACAGACCTGTTTAAAAAATGTGAACTTTTCAACAAGTTGTCCCATTTCTGTTATGTGAATTGTCTGAGTTAAAACTGTTTTATACCCATTTTACTTCCAGCAAGAGACAATGCTTAAAAGCAATTTTTTGCCTAGATACTCATGGAAGTGTGCTGCATGACTTAAACTACATATACAATTTTTACTCTTACCATAACTGTTTGAATTACTGCAGGCAGACAGGCGGGCGGGCGGGCGGACACACTCCCTTTCCTTCTTCAATGGCTCTTTTTAGCTACTGCTTTACAAGGAAGCCATAACCTGGCTAAGACTTGGAGAGTCAGGAGTTGCAGACTGTATTACCG